TTTTAAGAACTTCGCTTATACTTGAATTAATAAGTTTGGTCATGTTAATGTTTTGTGAACGCTACTGTTGCAAACAACAGGAGCTTGAGTGTTGAAGTGAGAATGATATGTATAACCATAGATGTTTGTATGCCACAAAATAATCCTCAATTCTCCCCAACGATGCAGCTCACAGCGTAATCATAACAAAGGGCGGGTAACTCCGTCCAGCAATGTCCCCCCTGAGGAGGAGGGAGATCAGCCACAGGAAGTTAAGGAGGAGGTTCAGGAGGGGGAGTGCAATATTGAGGAGGAGGCGGCTGAGGTTGTTGATGTGTTTGATGAGGAGACGGGGTCAAGGTAGAATAAATCCACCCTTATGTCTAGACACGCCCATCCCAATGTTAACCCCTCCCCTCTGTCATCAGTATATATATAATGTACTAATGGTAACACTCACTAATCTTCAAGTACAAACTTCAAATAAGAACCAAGTCACATTTCTAACAGAAACATTCCAGGTTCATACAAGATATTTTCAGTATTTTCCTCAAGTTTCTGATGGAGATATTAAAAAATGAAATGTTTTATCTCCTTACTGAATATGAAAGATGTCATAATTTCTCAAGAGAATTTATTTTAGTGGAAGTGTAATGTGACGTCAGTGCAAGCTGACTGTGAGCTGTTTGGTCCTTATTTTAGTTTGTACCTTGAACCTTTATTTATTTATGTGTAATTAACATTTTTGCTCCTACTCACCAAACTTACACCTTGGATGTGCATGGCTTGTTTTGTGAGCCGGGTTGTCATGGTACTCCTGATGTTGTAATTTAACTGTAGTGTTGGTGTAAACTCATGTCCCCACCTTGGTGTGGTCCTGGTTTAGATATTCACTTTTATAAATATATGAAATAGACATGTTCTGTAATATACCCATGTAGAGGGGACTAGCCTATTGTTAGACCGATCAACTTGATAGCAATCACCTTGACATTGTTAGGTGTTATATAGTGACTATAAAGTGCCATGTGAGTTCAGAAATTAACAGGTACTTAATACATTGTACCAACATTTGGAGAACTAGAAAAAGAAGTTTTTGAGACAACATAAAGTACCCAGGTATACATTTTCTGCTTATTGACTTTAGTATAACATGAAACTTTGGCTGTGTATTTACATTCAGTTTCCGTGGTTACAGATAAACTAGTAGTACAGCTTACAAGTGTATAACTCGTAACTTTATACAGTTTGATTTAATATATGATTTTTAAATGTGACTCCAAGGCATTATACTGACCATGCATTAGTGGTGTCCCAGCATCCTGGACATTTTATACAGTATAGTACACTGTAATTGATGAAAACAACTCAACCATCTGAAACTCTATACTAAGACTAGTATTGATTAAGGTCTGGATATTTGGCCTTGGTGAATAGTAACATGCTATCACTGTTTAACAAGACTTACTCAGAGAACACATACTTAGGTGCACATACTGGAGGAAGGGCAGCCCATCTGGTATACACAGAATATCAGTAGTCGGGTCATCTACATTATATCATTAGTAACTGCAACAGTTTCAGCATTTTCTGTTATCATTTGGCTTGTGTTGTGATCAAATAAAGATCAACTTGACTTCAATAAAACACAGGAAAAGACTAAGTAACGAGAGTACTATCACCAAAGTCACTGTTGTAGATCACAAACTATAAACCCAGGACAATTAACATTGTAACCGTCTCAATAGACAGTGTCTTATTTTCATGTTCAAAGCAAGAGTTACAATGGTACTGATGTGACGAGGTCCTAGGTTATGGTTAGATTATATATGTATAATTATTTGATTATACATCGCTGATCAACACTGACCAGGGTAGTCTCCCCTACAGGTAAATGTGTAGATATATTCTATTGTTGATGTCACGTGTGTGTTGTTTCTGTGCTCAGTGTGTATTATTGTGTCTCTGTGCTCAGTGTGTATTATTGTGTCACTCCAGTATTATAAATATATAACCACTACGTCGGGTTGTTGTTTCCAGACAGGCGAGAGGCCCGCCCCCTCTGCCTCAGAGGGACCACACCAGTACCTACACTCCAACAAGGGTAGATCCCAGGAATCAGATAAGGGTGAGCTCGGCTCCTAGGAGCCAGTCAAGAATGACCCCCGACACCAGGGAACAGGCCCCAACGAACTCTGGCCCCAGGCCCCAGGGAAGAATAAACCCTGGTCCTCAGGGACAACCAGGTATGATCTCTGACTCAAGGAGCAACAGAGGAATGAACTATGACTCACCTAATCAGGGAAGACAGAACGCTAGTCCTCATAGTGCTCCAAAGATGAATGGTACAGTACACAACCAGGCAGTATCAACCTCTACAAATAATACAACTCCCACAAGGGGTAGAGTGGGATATTCCAGTGTTCAGGACCGCCCCTTGCCCCACCCCCCAGTCAGTGTTCAGAACTCTCCTGCGGGAAACAGCCGGTCGTTTGTCACCAGTGACAGCATCAAGAAGCTGTACAGCACTCCTCCAGACAAGCGCTTGTATGCCACACAGGACGGTATACGCCGGCTCTACAACCAAGACACCCCACCCAGCAAGGGGGTGTCCACTGGTGGTGTGTCGTCAGTGGGCATGTCTACGGGGCGAAACCAGAACATCCTCACCCCACTCTCCCAAAATGTGAGTACTCTCCTTGTATTGAAAACAAGAATCCTCTCTAGCAAGTTGTCTTCCTTCCAAATGAAGGGAAACATTATTTTGTACCACTTGTATTTTTCCAATTTTAAAAACAGTTTGTGCAAAGCATAATTCTTTAAACATTTAAAGATAATATCTTGATGAAGTTTGTTGAATACTTGTATTTACCATTAAAGTTTGTTGTAAGTCGGCCACTTTGACCTCCTAACAGAAGGTAAATGGTCCAAAAATATTAAAGTTTTCTTTTGTCTTGACTGATATCAGTATATGTAGTTTTCCAAGTTAATAAAATTTTGTAAATTCTTTATATTTCAGATAAGTTCACAAAACTCTCAAAATTACAACTATAATCATTCTCCTGACAAATCTGTACAGTATGCGAGTTACTCAAGGGCAACCAACCGTGTGGGTGATGCACGTGTTAACCGGGGCATGACCACACAGAACATGATTGACAAGAGTGTGATACCTCGGACAGTGTTAGACCCTGGTCATAACCGTGATCTGTGGACGGAGATTTGAGTGCAACTTGGATCTGAGGCGTCTTAGTGTCTGAAACACGTCATATTTCCTCTTGTTTTTCATTTAAAATGGACAAAAGAGGAAAAAAGTGTGATTAGAAGATATCAGACGTAAAACCTTTTGAGGAGCAGTTAGTTCCTATAGGTTCTGTATAAACACCCTCGCTGTCAGCTGATCATGTCCTCAGGCTTTGTCTCTGATCAATTTTCAAATTAATTTTTCGTAAGCCTTCCATTGGAAGTACAGACTCGTTGTATATGAAGTACTGTCGAAAATACAGCATGTCGAAAATACAGCATGTCGAAAATACAGCCTGTCGACAGGTGTCCACTACATAGTCCACGTGTTTTAACATACCTCTGGTAAAATGTTTGTGTTATCATATACAAGGGAAGTAAGTACATCAGATATGAAATGTTGAAAAGAAGTCTAGATTATCTTAGGATTTTTTTCTTGTGTGTATTTCATTTGATATAACATCTAACAGCTATGCAATATGTATGAATATTTCTTTGGTTTAATTGGAAATTTAATTGAGTTTTGTATATGACCTGACAACGTTATCAGGAATTATAACCCAGTCTAAGACCATGTCACCAGACGACTATGCATTTTGTCTTGCCAAATGCACTGTGATAGAAGTAATGCTCATGTATATAATTTCATTTGACAGCTCTGTATAGTTATTTTGCCCAATAAACCACCAAATATTTGTCCTTTATGAACAAAAAAGGTTTGAAACGTTGCCTGTATTAGATATCTATATCTTACAGATCTGTCTACTGCTTTAGCTTTCTTTAATGCCAAAGTTAAAAATATTAATTAACACTTTTAAATTTGTTCCTCCCTCAACATTTTCCCCAAATTAAAATAGTGACTTCATTACTGGTCAGATTCAAGTTTGTGCATTTATCTACACAAATGTTCAAAACTCATCACATGTGACATTGTTTACAAGTTTTGAAAATGACATAATTGTAATTCACCAAATCAGTGTGTGATTGTGGCCCCTAGCTTCACTGTTTCCAGGGATCAAATTATTGACCCCTATTTTCCCTGTCCTCAGGGATCAAACCATTGACATCTAGCTTCCCTGTTCCCAGGGATC